CCTGGTAAAGGCTGCGACTCTGGCGGCGGATCTCCAGGCGGCTAACACGGAGCTGCATGGTGAGCTGAGTGAATTTTGTGCGTGCGTGTGAACTTTGTGCGCGTATCTAGAGCTTACGGGGGAGCCATGAGCCTGAGGTTGGGCCCAATAGACGAAAATGGGAAGGAATGAGTTTACTGACTGCACCCCATTATGATCGTACAACACGTGGTGTGGCCTGGGGTGATCCTTCTCGTCCTCCTCCTCTACACCTAGAGTTCTCGGCAAGCTGCATGGGGCGCGATGCTATGTGGGCGGCTTGCCAGTGTGGCCTGGCTACCATCCCTTCTTTTCTCTGCTTTCGCCTCTATCAGGGAGGGTTGACTCATGATACCTTCCCCTCATTCTTCGATTTGCATATCTGCTGCTTGCGAATAAAGTTCTTCAAACCTTCTTGTCGGAAACTTATTGTAGTCCTCATCCCTTCGAGGTTTATTATATGAATAAATATGATTTTTTCAATGCTTTCTTCGTCTCTCCGCCCGGAAACTTTGACTTGCGCCTTTAATAATCTTAACCAGACTTGACTCGTATTTCAAACGAACCGGCTCTTTAGCCCAGGGCGACACCAGAAGCGCCCCCAGTTAGCTTTTAGGAACTAACCAAACGCTCATGTATACTCTTAGCACGCTGCAGTTCTTGGGGGGGGGGGGGGGGGAGAGAGAATATATATCCGACTAAACCCCTGAGATCCGTTTGCCCCCAGTGCTCGCCTTGTATGTGGGAAGCGTGCTTTCGGCCCCTGCCTGCGCGGTCTCATGGTGGCGAGGATCGCTGCTTTGATCGATGTAATCGCCCAAGTGCAGGCGCTCTTGGTAGGGTAGAGCCTCGGGCGCCGCCGAGGATTAGCTTCACCGCAAAGAAGGCCTGCAAGATAAGCATCTTCGAGGTGGCCCATCATCGGGATCATCTCAGGACTGATTACCCGGCTTAGCTCCAGGAGCGGGGGTTTCCTCCCCGCTCTGTCACGTCTTTGACTTTCCATCGCGTGGTGCCTCAGGGCGACTTCCCCATCTTTAGCCGCGGTGGCTCGTGACTGCTTCAGCAGTTGGCTGCTTGGCAACTCAGTGACTACTTTCTTCGTGGGGATAAATACTGGTCTTCCCCCGCCCGCTCCCCCCCCCCCCCCCCCCCGCCCCCCGCCCCCCCCCCCCCCCCCCCCCCCCCCCCCCCCCCCCCCCCCCCCACCCCCCACCCCCCCCCCCCCCCCGCCCCCCCCCACCCCCCACCCCTCCCCCCCCCCCCCCCCCCCCCCCCCCCCCCCCCCCCCCCCCCCCCCCCCCCCCCCCCCCCCCCCCCCCCCCCCCCCCCCCACCCCCCCCCCCCTCTCCTTCTAGCGTTAACTATTCGGAAGCAAATTTTGAGATGCTTATAGCTCTAAGTTTCGTCATTTGGGGGGATAAGCGATATGCGGCTCCAAGAAAAAAAGTCTAGTGGGTCCTGTATACACGAGCAAACGCTGAGTGAGTCGGCGTCTAGGCGGGAAGGTAGGTTTTGAGGTGGTTAAAGATTGGGTATCCCGTCCGAGGATCGTGATATCCGTCTGGTGTTTAGTGGAAGGAGAACATAAGAGGTGAACCGTGAAGAGAGTGAGGTATGAGCTCTCTCTGCACAGATTTTGAATAAGGAATGTAAGGTGAAGAAAACACTTATCTCGAAAGGCATTTCTTACAGGGAACAATGAGCGTTTCCCTTCAGTTTCGCTGCAGCGCGGAGCTTGGAGCGAGTTCCAACGAGGCGAAGGTCGGAGGTTTTTCTTTCCTCCTCCTTTGGGTGTATCTCTTCTCTCTAGGATTTGTCTTCATGCAGTCCATCTCGATCTAGGATCCTCTCTTTTCCTACACTCTTAGGTTTCCTTTTATACCTCTCTTTCGTTTTTTGACATCTATGCGATACGTCGCGGAAACAGACGATTCGTTATAGCACGCCTAACTCGGCAATCATGCCACCTATCCAGAAATATCCATGAACAGATTAATAGCAAGTCTTGTGAGAGAAAGTCAGCACTTTGGCACGATTCAATAACCACGTATCATCTTATAAGTAGTCGTGGTAAAAATGAATCCTGCAATAACTAAAATATGTTCAATGCAATTCATAATATTTTCATCATATTTTAATAAAGATTTTCATTTCCTCGTTCTAGTACTGAAATAATATTATGGGTGACTATTATGATATATATATATCAACTTGCATTTTTGAGCAATGATGTGCCACAAAAACGGAAAAGTTATAGATTGTTTTGTCAAAGATTATTATTGCATATCCCCTATATATTAAAAGAGAAGCATTTTTAAAGAGAAACCTTAAATTTGTAGAATATTACAATGGTGCCATTTTGCTGATGTGTCAACTCCATATTCATTCTCAGCTATTTTAAAAAAAAAGACTTAGATTACTAGACTAATTACATGATATGACATTGTATATTTTCTGTCCATAAATATATTATATTTTATTTTTTAAAATGAATTCAAAGACAATAATATTAGAATTCATAATTTAATAAAATAAAATTTATTTAATACTAAATATAATATACACGAAATTTATTATATAATATTTTTAAAATACTATCCATATATTTTTATTATAAATTTATAATAAAATATATAATCTTTTTTTAATATTTACTATTTTTATCATTCATAGTAAAATATATAATACTTATTTATGCTTACTACTTTTAAAAAAAAATATTTTTATTGATTATTTATAAAACAAAATTCTTATAAAAACAACTGAAAAATTAAAAAATAATATTTTATTTTTCTCAAATTCATAACAAATATATAACACTTTACTAATGTTTATTACTTTTATTAGAAAATATGTTTATTAATTATTTATTAAAAATATTTTTATAAATACGACATAATAATTAAAAATAATATTTTATTTTTCTCAAAAATATGTATATTAATTGTTTACTAAAAATATTTTTATAAATACAACAGAATAATTAAAGATAATATTTTATTTTCTCAAAAATCAATCAGAACAAATAAAAAAAAATCATAATGATTTTATTCACATATTGTTATAATTATAGCATGCATGAAAATAACTGTAAAAACATATATAATATCTTTTAACAATTCATAATAATATATACAAAATATAAATTAAAAATATATGTTATTTTTATCACAAACATCAATTAAAAAGAAAATGATGAATTTTTAAAATTATTATGATATATATTATTTAATATTCAGATTTACTATATAAGGAAATATGATATATTGCATTATGATTTAATTTATATATGATTTTTAGATGACAAATATGGTATATAGTATTATTGCTTACTTTTTTTTGGCAAGAGATCAGAATATGATAATATCAATATTAATTATTTATTTTTTTAATTAATGTTTGATTTAACATATATAGTATCAAATTTTCAGCAAGATTTGTTCATGTTTTTTTTTCTTAGTTTGTCTGTTTTAAATCAATCAATTTAATTATTGTGAAAATTCTATAAATTGATAATATTGTGATTTCAATATTTTCTTAATTTATAAAATTATCAGTTTGGAACTAAATAAATTATTTATTAATAATTAATTAAAAATTGTATTTGTTTTAAAAGTTAGTAATATCTTTAAATACTTCACTTTTAAATTGTAGATAAACTATAACATTATTTCAATTTAAAAAAAAACAAATCATTATATATTCATATTTTAGTAAACGATCATAGTTATATTTTTATATAAGATTATTTTATGGTAATTATTAATTTATGATATTAATAGACCATATATTTATATAGATTTTTTTAAAAAAATATTATCTTATCGATTTCTATTATATTTTGAATAAGTCCAATTTGGGACTAAGAAAATATTTTAATTTATTTAACTAATAATATTTAATAGATAAGTAAAAAACTATTTAACTAATAGTATTTAATTATTTAAGAGTCAAAATTAATTAAATATGTACATAAATTGTATATCCAAATATTGGACATTGGTAAAAATAATGAATAATATCATCAATTACAGGATATTGAAAATTTGTATAGTAACTTCATATTTTTTATCCATCTATATCATGTGTTATGCATGCTACTTAATTTTTAAATTAATATACATTACTATTACATTATCTTTGTATAATATTATATTAAATTTATATTAATTTAATTATATTATATTATATGATTTTAAAATTATATTAAATATAAATAAATAATAATTATTTTACCCTGCACAGGGTGCAGGTTATTACATAGTGTATGTTAAAAAAGTGCAGTCATCAATCATCCGGTTTATCCAATTTCTCTTGGTTTATCCTATCTGTTTTGTTATAGCTATTTTAATTGTGTTTCGGTTTAGTTGGTTTGCCTTCTATATGTAAGCCTTTTGGCCACTCGTGAATTAATCAATCAAATAAACAAATATTTTCGTCAACTTATTCTCTGTTCATCATCATCTTCCACCATCGAATCTCTGTTTTACGTAATGATCTTTCTTGCTTAGTGATTGTCTTCTAAACTTTGATTAACTGATCTCTGGATTCTTGGTGAATCTCTGGATTGGATCTATCTATTCTATTTTTACTATTTTAGATTATATGAATGTGATAGGTGGAAACCCCAAAAATATTTAGAAATGGGATGAGATGAAAAAAAGAATGACATGAAAAGAAATTGGAAAAAGAAGAGATGATAGCATAAACGTAAATATGATGAGTTGTTGGCCTAGCAGTCCGAATCCGAGATCTTGTCAGAATGCCACTTAGTGTGTTACATTAATAACATTTTTGGTTTTTATTCTAAGATACTGATGATTAAACATTTTCACATCTTAGTCTTTAATTTAGTGACGTATAACAAAATTAGTCTCTTTCAAATCGATGGAAAAAAACAAAAGAAAAGTGTACCCCCTACGTAATTAACTATTGGCTTATTTTATACTATATATAGAGTCCACAATGCATGGATCGGTTCACGTCTTGATGAACAAACGAGTGCTAACGGCGTCATCAAATCCTATAGAGCGACAACTAACGGCGTCTCTATTCAACGGCGTTACTCCCAAGCTAGATCCGACCTTTCTTTGGTACGGACCGAACCACTTATGCTGCAAGTAAGAGCTTCTCCTCCACGGCGGAAGAGACAAACCACGGCTCTTCAACGACCGCTTCGCCGCGTCGCATGACTCTCTCACGGCCGTCCTAAGATTCTCCTCTTTTCCTACAAAAACACGAGGCAGCAACTCCATCACACGCGCGTACTGACGCGTCGGTCTTGCGATCTCGAACTCCGAAGCAAAGTCTAGATCGACAAAGTAACGGATCGCCACCGCCGTCCGATCATCCTCCAACGGCTTGTAAACGACGTCAATGAAATCGTAACTCCCGCCGGTGAGTTTAACCGACGAGCTCCATTTGGAAACACAAACCGCCGCGTCGTGGCCTAGCTCTCGTAGAAATGATGCTACTTTGTCCCGGAAAACAGATTTTTGCCTCGACCTTAGAGCCGAATATACCTCAACGGCTCTAAGGACGTGACCTAGCAATATATTACGATAAGGATCAGAATCGGAGAAGCTCAACGCCATCTTTATAGTCTCCTCACTTGCCTCACTAGAACATTCCATTGTGGAATTCTCGGACAAGACGGAGTCGGAGAATGTCTCCTCGGGACCATCCTCGAGAAACCCGTGTACGAGCTCGAAGAGTTGAGGAGACTCTTGATCTAGGCTGCTGCTGACGTGACCAAAGATCCGAGCCTTGGCGGCATCGTCGAGTGGGTCAGTAGCACGTTTGGTTCTTGAGAAAGTTGTCATTTGATTTGAGTGATGAGAACTAATTTAGTGAGAAGTGAGAAAGGTGAGAGAATCAAATATAAAGTGAACGGTTTCAGTGAGTTATGTGGAGGATTTATCTGGGAATATTCGTTGTTTCTTTTTCTTTCTATGTTTATTATTTTTATATACCTTTCATACAATTTGTTTGTTTTATGTATGTATGGGGAACAAGACTGGTTTAGTTAAGTTTTATCTCATTTGTGACGCAAGACCGGTGCCTAGGAAGGATATCCGATGGCACCTGAGGATTATTCCAGTCGTGAGATATGATGACGTGGACGGACGAGATCTAGTGCCGCCAGAATATCCCTTTCGTATTCTTTTACAAGAAAACTATATCCGTGCATTGCTGCACCAGAAAGTAAAAAGAGTATTTTCTATTATTGTACAGTCTTATTTTGCCAAAGGATAACAAAACTCTTATATAATTTGATAAACTTCTACATGTTTTTGTTTTAGTTTATTTCTTATTGAAACTGGTACTGATCATACAACTTCGGATTCATAACAAAGCATGTCAAAATGTATTCGTCCTCCATACTCCATAGGTGGTGTTGTGGGGAATGGTTTTCTTGACGGTTGCTATTGCAATGTCTCTAATATTTTTTTGAAAATCTATAAAAGTTCTTTTCTTTTTATTTATTTCAAACTTCGACCTCAAATTCGCTAATCTGGCAATGTCAAGAAACAACACATGAGATTATATCTCTAAATCCAAGTGTTTTCAACATACGTCTCCTTTTTTGTTTGTGAATCTTCGCTAACGCTGAAATGTTAAACAACTAAAGATATAAAAAAACGTTGCAACAAACCAAAAGAAGAAGAAATGAAAAACAACTGCAGATATCTTGAAAACGTTTCAAGACACTCATCAGGTGCTCATAGCCTCTCCATCTTTTGATGCTTCCTTCTACACATTCATACAGATTTGGTTAACAAAAATAATAAATCCCACTTTCTTAATCCAGATCCAAACATTTGGATTAAAGATTACTTACAGTTAGTTTCGCAAACATGTTCCCGTAAAATTTGGCCTCCTTTTTGTTAAACTCCTTCATCTTCTCCTTCAACTTTCTCTGCTCCAGCTTCACCTCCCTACATCATTTAGAAAAAAAAAGTTTTCACTTAGTATTATAATCAAAGAGGACATTGCAAAATCTAATATACATGAAGGGTTAAGAGTAAAAGACAAACCTATTGTTGGGATCAATTTCAAGAGCCTTCTTAACATCAAACTCAGCCAAATCCAAATCAGCTAACTCCATGTACGCTTGTGCTCTCCTGTATAAAGCCTTAACATTGGTGCTTTCAAGTTCCAATACCTAAAACATTAAAGAATCAAAATTCTCCATCATTATTGTTACAGCTAGGTTTTGAGAATAAAAGAAATTACAGGACCAATTGGTTTACCTTTGTGCATAGCTTTTCAGCTTGCTTGTAATCTTTCAGCTTCAGTTTGCAAGCTGCATCGTTTAGATTGCAAGCAACCTTTAAGGCTTTTGATTGCTTCTTCTCTTCCTCACTGAAAGATGTGTCGTATTCAATGTATTTAACAGCCTGACAAGAAAGTAAACTAAACCATGTGAGACTGATGTTATCAACGTTAAAACAAACATTATCAGCGAGAAGTTTCATATTTATATATATTACCTTCTCGTATCTCTTGGAAGCTAGAGCATACTTGCCTGCTTTAAACTTGGAGTTTCCTTCTTCCTTCTTCTTACCTGCAGCTTCTATCTTCTCCTCAGTGTTCATGTCCCATGATTCCCTTTCCTACAATGGCTAACACGTGTTAGACACCTATATACTTCCTTATTGAACTGTGAACGGCATAAAGCTTAAAGCATCCAAAACTATACTAACCTTTTCGAAAGTCACAAGGTCAACCTCGTAATAGAGTGTTGAATTTGGAGGAACAATGGCCAATTCCTGTTTTGACTCAGTTGAACCAAAGGCATACTCTGGCTCTATGGTCACTAATGCCACTTCACCTTTCTTCATCTTCATCACAGCTTTATCAAGCCCATCGATCACTTGCTCTGTTAAAGCATTCCAGCAAAATGAGTTACAACGATAAAAGTCTCAAAGAAAGATCCAAGGAAGTTTGTAGAAGTGTAGTTTACCTTCATCTGTTTTGAATTCAAAGGGCTCCTCGTCTTCACCATGGCCCTTCTTCAGGAATACAGTACCATCTTTAAGTTTTCCGATCAGTTTCACTGCCAGGAAGGAAAAGATAAAAGGTCCGTAAGAAATTGTGTTATGAGAAAACAATGAGATGTACTAAAAGTTTAGAAAATGCAAACCTTTCACAACTGCGCCCTCGTTAGGACGGTCATATCCTTCCCCTTCCTTCAAGATTTTCTTGATAACCTTGTTGTCATCAGTTACTTCTGAAACTGTTTTCCACGAAACTAACTCAAGATTGATCTCGAGCGTCGAGTTTGGAGGAACCGCAGCTTCACCGTCAGAGGCTGGTTTGCCCTTCTCCCCGAAACCATCTGTCTCATTTATAAGCAGATTGGAATTAGAGATGATGTACCAGACGAGGATCAGTGGAAAAAACACAAGTGACGCAAATTGTCTTACATTGTGGTTTAACTGTTAAAAGAACCTTTTCTGCCTTTTTCATGGTTTTCACAGCCTTGGCAAGTGCAGGACAGAAATGACCTAGTAATGACATAAACCACATAAAAAAACTGTCAGTGATCTAATATACTATCTCATATGCTCATCAAGTCACAGAAGAAACCAGAGCACTAACCATCTTTGACAGTGAACTCCACACCATCGGATTTTCCAACAACCGTACCATCCTCAAGTCTAGCCTCGTACATAACTGAATAAACAAATACGCAGGAAACACAGTTAGAGAAATCTCAAAAGCGCACAAATCCTCTAAAGTGGGTTCATAAGAAAGAGGACACACACCAAGAACTTCGTCGAGATCCTTTGGGTTCTCCCACTTCTCTCCCACAGAGAGAATCTTCTTAAACACACCGCCATCTTTGCATACGTCCTTCACACTAGACCATGAAAGCAACTCCACATCAAACTGAAGCGTGGCACTCGCAGGGATCGTCGGCGGCGAACCAGATTCACCGTAAGCTAGCTCCGAAGGAATAGTGAACACGGCGTTTTCGCCTTTCTTCATCGTCTTAATACCAATATCCCATCCTTTAATAACCTGACCTGCAACACACGATAGAAGACGAAAAAGATTAAGCCAACAACCACATAGAAGAAAGAACACATAAGCATTACTACTCGAATTAGAACTTCACAACAGTTGCATCTCAGCTCTATATTGCATATAGCTCATTATCTGGGTTTTAAATAGCACATTGCGCACCATGGCGAGTAGGCCTGAGCATTAGTATTCGAATTGGAACTTAACAACAATTTCATCTCAACTCGATAATACAGAGAGCTGATTATCAAATTAATACCTACCAAATTAGTCTGTGAGCATTAGTACTCGAATTGGAACTTAACAGCAATTTCATCTCAACTCGATAATGCAGAGAGCTGAATATCAAATTGATATCTACTAAATTAGTCTGTGAGCATTAGTACTCGAATTGTAGCTTAACAGCAATTTCATCTCAACTCGATAATGCAGAGGGCTGATTATTAAATTGATATCTACTAAATTAGTCTGTGAGCATTAGTACTCGAATTGGAACTTAACAAAGAGCTCATCATCAAACTGATATCTACCAAATTAGTCTGCAGAATGCTCTAGATTACTTAGTTTATACTGATAAACACTAATAAAACCCAGTAACTAGCAATGTAACCATAATTGCGAATCCAAGAGAAGGAAACTGATAGATCTTTGGAACTGGTGAAATCAAAGCTAAGCAATCGCATCGAGAGATTTCAGTTCACTCACCTTGACCGAGAGTGAACTTGAACGGCGTGCCTCTGTCGCGGCTGGAATCGAACTTCGTACCGTCGAGCAAAGTCCCAGTGTAGTGCACTGCACAAGAGACGAATCAAGTTCAGCTCAAAACGTAAATCGAAAGAATTAACAAAAACATAAACTGAGAAATCGCCGAATCGAATGATTTAACCTTCAACTTCATCGCCGTTTTCAGGAGTCTCGAATCCTTCGCCTTCCTTAAGAAGCTTCTTCTTCAATCCTTGTTGGATCTCCTTCTCTTCTCCGACTTTGAGGTAGGCAGCGTCATCGAAATCCATGTCTTCGTCGTTCATTCCACCGACCGGAGGCATCTCGAAATCTTCATCCATCTCGATTCAAAGAAAAAAAACGAAGAAAGTGTATAGATGAACGAATCGCGATATATATAGATAGAGAGAGAGAAACGGTTAGGGAGGAGAGTGGTATTGGTAATGTGATTTATATAAGGTTTTGAGTTTGGGTGAAAAAAGGGTTCTAGAGAGTTCCTCTTTCCTTTGCCCTTTTTTTTTTGTTAAACTTCCTTTGCCCTTTAGAGATAATTTTATTGGATACAGAAAGGAGGAGGAGATGACGGAGTTAAATGACGGAGTTAAATGACGGAGTCTTCCACGAATACAAACAAACAGATTGGTTAAGTTTGTGTATTTTGATGATGTAAGCTTTTACGGGTGCGCAGCCGGGAAATTTTTTTTTTTTTTCTTCTGAAAGATTATACATTACCAATTAAGGTGTAGACGTTACAAGAGAAGCCAAATTAAAGCCAAATTAAAGCCAATACAAACACTATCGATCACCTTATAATACACAAAAATAGGTGAATAGACCAAAAAGAAACAACTTAAGAGAGTAAGAACTCCAGACAGCGAAAAAAGACGACAAAGCTTAACAAAGAGACATTTCTTTGTCTTTGTCGAAAACCTGACAAAGCCAATGCGGATACCCAACCGCAACATAAGATTGGAATAGATTTTTCTGAATCACACTTTTGGCAATAAGAGCAGATCTTAGATTAGAAACTCTCTGTTCAGAACATAAACTCCAATCACCAAAATCTGTCAAAACACGCCTAATTTCAGAGCCATAAAACTTGAAACTTGGCCAAATATTAGGCTTATGAACCACACCAACAAACTCTGGAGATTCCAAACCAAAAATCACACGATCAAACCTGTGACTTTTCATGCTTTCAATAGTCCATAGAAGGCATTTCAATTTAGCATCAACAAGAGAGTTCTTCTACTATGCAAAAGCACTACACCTTTAGAATCACGAACAACCCATGCCCCACCCGCTGACCTATTCACTGAAGACCACGCAATTCCAATGTTACACTTTAACCATGGCGCTGAAAGTCTCTTCCAATTAATCTTACTGTTTTGATTAGCATCATTATCAACATCATTGACCCTAAGATTAATGGATTGAGCAAGAAACCATTGCGACGAATCAGAATTGATCTTCCTCATAGTATCTCTCACATCAAAACACATACCCTCAAGCACAAACTTATTTTAATTCTTCCAAATGATCTATAAAACCCAAGGAAAACTTTTTCTAACATCAAATGGAACTTTCTGGTCTTTGGCAACTTTAAAATGAAAACTAAAGTTGACAAAGATAGAAGAAGGATGAAAACCAAACTCGGGCTTGGGAATGAGAGATAAGGCACATACCTGTCTCGCAATCGGACAAGAGAATAACACATGATTGATCGATTCTCCTTCAGAACCACACACTTGACACCTCGAATCAATTTTCATCCCTCTCCCAATGATCTTATCAGCCACCGGAAGCGCCTCACACAAAGCTTTCCACAAATTAGTTTTAATCTTTGGGGCAGTGCGGATACTCCAAACTTGATTCTTAAGTCCGTTTAGCGATGGTTGTTGATTGGCGTCAAAGTGAGCTTGAGAATGATCTACCTGTGATGCAAGCCAATAGCCAGACTTAACCGAGTAAGATCCACTAATGTTGAACTTCCAAATCCAAAAGTCATCAATTGCAATAACCGGTTGAGATGCCATTATGATAGAGATATCTCGTGGTACAAACAGATCCTCTAATTTTCCTCTATCCCAGCGTCTTGTTTGAAGATTTATAAGATGATTCACTCTCAACTCAATATCAATGAGTGAGTTTTTAATCCATGGAACTCTAAAGATTTCACCATCATATAACCAAGGATCAATCCATAACCTCCTAGAAAAACCATTACCAATCTTCAGCTTTAGACCTTGAATCAGAAGTTCTCCTCCATGAAGTATACTACGCCAAATGAACGAAGGTCTAAAACCACAAGTAGAAGTTAAGAATTCCTGATCAACAAAATATCTACTCTTCATCACTCTCGCCATTAGACAGCTAGGATCTTGCAAGATATGCCAAGCTTGTTTAGCTAATAAGGCTTGGTTAAAAGTTTCTATATCTCTAAAACCCAAACCACCTTCCCTCTTAGTTAAGCATAAATTTTCCCAACTGATCCAATGCACCTTTCTTTTGTTGTCGAGAGAATTCCACCAAAAATCAGACATCGCTGAGGTGATAATTTGACAAGTATTTTTCGGTAATTTTAAAACAAGACATTGCATAAACCGGTAAGGACATATCAACTGCTTTAAGCAATGTCTCCTTTCCACCTTGAGAAAGTAACCTTGCAAACCATCCAGATATTTTTGACTTCAGTTTCTCTTAAATAAAAGCAAGTAATTTTATTTTAGAACCATTAAAGCATTCCGGCAAACCCAAATATGTGCTTGCACCACCAACATTAAAAATCCCCCAACTAGCCTTGATCCTAGGTATAACTTGAGGGTCCACCTTTGCACCAAAAGTTATAGAGGATTTGTCTAAATTTACACATTGCCCTGTAGCCTTCCCATAAGACCTGAGGATATTATGTAACTTTTCACTCTCAGAAACCTCAGCCTTACACAGAAAAAGGCTATCATCGGCAAAGAGTAAGTGATAAATTTTAGACAATATATTTTGTAGGAATAAAAATGAAAATGGAAAAAAAAAATTATAATAGTTATTGATACAAATTTAGAGACTGAAGTTGATGTTTCCACCATAAGACACGTTACAAAAACAAGATTAGGAACAAAGGATTTAGCCGAGAACTTCAACCGAAGACTCAAATCATCACGCAATATGTAGAAGTTGTTACAACTCAGCTCAACCAGCTCAGCATCTCAAGAGAATCAGCCATGGTGACAGCAAGCCTAGAAGAGCAAGGCATTCTCATCATGCAAAAAGACTCCCATGCTAGTCAAGATGAATGTCGCATCACCAACGGTCTTCACATAAAAAAAATAGGTTATACACGAGGATGGCCAATGATTCATGCAAACAAGGAGATTTTCTTATTTAGCATTATGCTACTTAAGTAAATGATTAAATAACCAGTTGCATTAAACCATCTAAACCAAGGTAAGTTCAAATCCTAATTTTCATATGGTTTATTCAACTAATAAAACTCTTTCTTTGTTTGTTTTGGTTCAGCTTTATTTCATTTAAACTTTAGTATAAGGCATGTTAGTCATTTTTATTTACATTTTCGTATAAGGCATTGTCTAGCCTAGTTTTACTTAAACTTGTAATCTGCTTCAAAGTCTTTTAGAAGGGCATAGCTGTTCGGACTCTTATAAAGTCCTCTCTCACAGCAGTGTATCATTTACCCTAAATCAACAAAGCAAGAGCCGTTTTTGTCTAAGACAAAACCCCCTTTGAACTCTCTAAGTGTGAGCGGTTCAGCTTAAGCATTTGTTTGTCTCATCAGAGCTTAGATCCATAAAGCTTTGTGGCGACCCTCGATCCATCTCACTACTCATCACACGTTCAAGATCTTGCAAATAGAGTTGTATGGCTCTTTGTTAGATCCCCATCTCGATCCACTTCCTTCCATATTGCCATCCAACGATTGTAAGCCGAATGAGTTGAACAACCAGCGGCCCAATCCCATCACTAGCTTGTGGGCATGTGTCATCTGATATCAGAGCTGAAAGGCTTCTAAACAGGCGTACTCTATCCCTTTTGCATCTCATTTCATTAGTTTTCATTTGATTTCTTAGTTCATTCATACATATTCAAAAAAAAAGTTTTCATCCATTTGCTTGCTTTGATTCATATATATATATAAACTACTTGTTTCTTGCATAGTTCATTATTACTTTCCTATATTGGTCATACTGCGAGATTGCTCCTTGCTTGTTTTGGTTAGTTGTATCGTATTACATATTGCATATTGTTGGAGTCATTACTAGTTGTTTAAGACGGTTCCTAGTATTACTAGGACTATAGTTTATAGCTATTGTTCACACTTGGCTTATATTATAAGAACCCATTAAGCACTTGATCTTGAAACTTTGTAGGTACCATGATGGGAGAAGCGGATCAAGCAGATGTTATGAGGCAGATGCTCGAGTCTATTTAAGGCATCAGTGCTAGGGTGACTCAACTGGAGTAGCGAATGCCACCACCACCTCCTCTCGGAGCACCTAATGGTCAGAGAAACCGTGAGAGGACCCCCATACCTCAAGGAGATAGTGAAACGGATGATGACATGCCGAGTTTGGAGGATGATGACCCTAACCCGAGGTAACTGAGACACCAAGACCAACAGAGGAGAGGAAGAGACATAGAAGATGATCAACCGTGGCTTGGAGGAAAGGACTCAAGCTTAAAGCTCCTACATTTTCTGGAAGAGTCAACCCTGAGGCTTATGTGTATTGGGAGAGGAGAATGGAGTACATCTTCGAGTACTACCACTACAACGATGCAAAGAAGGTCTCTCTAGTTGCTGCTCAGCTAACGAAGAATATTGCTCTCTCTTGGTGGGACAGAGAGGTCTCGAAGAGGAGAAGGCATCTGCATGAGCAAATCGCTACTTGGGTGTATATGCGATATCACTTGAGGAAGATATATGTCCCTTCCTACTACCACCGTGAGATACAGAAGAAATTCAGGAAGCTTACACAAGGCACCAAGTCCGTAGAAGAGTATTTTGAGGAGTTTGAGCCACTCAAGAACCGTTTAGAGACAAATAAAACAAAAGAAACACTCATGGCACAGTTTATTGATGGGCTACACAGCCAGATATCAAGAAAGGTGGAGAGGACTACCTACCGAGATCTTGATGAGCTACTACACTTAGCTGTACAAGCTGAGCAACACATCAAAAGGAAGTCAGCCTCCACTGCTAGAGCCAAGCCCGCGTGGACAGCCGATAGCCTTTAAAGGAAAAGCACCAGAAGTAGCTTCTAAATTCAAGAATCCAGTCGTAGAAACATCTCAGGCAGCTACTGGCGAATCAAGTAAACCCCAAAACCAGAGAGCTAGAGATATTACTTGCTTCAAGTGTCAAGGAAGAGGCCATTATGTAAGAGAATGTCCCAACCAGCGAGTGATGCTACTCAAGGAGGATGCCGAATATGAATCGCAGGATGGGGCTGAGGTTAAGCTTACTGATTCAGAAGAAGAAGGGACCGACTATCCTGATGAAGGAGAGATACTCATTAC